TTTTTGTTGTTCAAATTTTTTAAATAACTTATTTTTAAAAATTCTAAATAGATTTTGATTTATCTGTTTAAAACCTAAAGCAGCTTTTCTATATTTATATAAATAATCTAAACCACTCTTCCATCCTTGATATGGTGTTTTATCATGATGCATAGTAAAAATATACTAAATTTAGAAGCTGTGGTTTTATACTTACTACTGTTTGAACATGGATAAATTCTATAATCACATAAATAATTGTTATATTTTCTTCAGTTAATTCTAACATATTAGAATGAATATAGTTGTGCTGAAAATGGCTTTTAGGTATTTTTTTGATGCAATCTTTGATAAATAAATTCCAAATTTCCTCAACTAATCTATTCATTTCTTGATTAATATTATCATTAATATTATAATTAGGATCATAACTAACTTCATCATCAGTATCAACCTTATTAGCAGTATTGGTATTGTTAGCAATATTATTATTATTGTCATTATCATTATTATTAATATTGCTATTATTATTATTATTAAAATTGTTATTATTATCATTACTATTATTATCATCACTATTATTATCATTACTATTATCATCAACACTATCATCATCATCATTATTATCATCATTACTACTATCATCAGCATTATAATCAAATTTCATTGCATTATTAGCAAGTGATATAATATTATTAATTCTGTCATCTATAATATTTTCTTCTTCAATATTACTAATATCAACTTAGAAAAATTAAAAAATTGCTTAAAATTAGTTGAACTAATTATAATTCTACAACTTTTAAATCTAATTTAATCTACTGGTAACAAGGCTATATTGTGATTTTGAATAGTTTTAAAAAATTGTAATGTTCCTATATTGTCTGAATCATTAATATTTGAAGTTCCAAAATACTTATAAAAAAATAGAATTGAATTTATACTTTGATTTATAGATCTCATTAATATGTATAAACAAGTTCTATAATTTGCTAATTTTGGACTAAAAGGTTTTTCTAAAGAATATTTATATGTATTTAAATAAACTTCTAATTGTTTACTTTTAAAATTGCACATAATTTCAGTCGGAATTATATAAAAAGGATTAGTTTGTAAAAATAAAGGTATTTCTATTAAATTTTTTGCAAAAGGTTTAGTATTTTTATATGATATTCTATACTCTAATCTTGCACCAAAACTAATATTTTTATGATTATCTAATATTTGAATAGTAGTTTTGCATGCATTTAGTATTTTTGAAGGATTAAATACTGCATTAATATCATCTAATTTTTAAAATAGTGTTGGTTGCGAAGCAGTAATTAGTTGTTTGTCTAGAGTATATGTTTGTATATAAAAAATTCTATATTTATCTTGAATAGTATTATTTGCTTCACCAGAACCACCAGCAAGATCATATGTATGCATCCATTCATAAATATTTAAAGACTTGCTAATTTTTTTTATAAGATCTATAGATGTTTTTCTATTCCAAAATACTGATGTAGGTGGAAGGTTTGTAGAATTAAATTCAATCCCCAAATCAAATTTTGCTAAATTTTTCCAAAAATTATTTGAATCCAAAAAGTTTTTTAGAATAAAATTTAAAGATTCTTCAAGTTTTGGTAAATTTTGAAATTTGATCAAAAGTTTTAAATTTTTAGCACAGATATGAAAAAAAATTCTTTTAAATTGGGTTTTTTCTCATATTTTCAATTAAACTATCTAAATATTCATTTGAAAGGCCAAAACAATCATGAATATAAGAATTTTGTAATGGTTTTTTAGTTAAAACTAAAAATGAATCAAAAGATGCAGGATAATGATGTAAAACATCATTAGGACAAATTTGACTTAAAGCAGGATAAAATATTTTATTATACCAAAGTTTTAACTTATTGTTAGATAAAAAATTATGTTTTCTATCAGGAAAATACATATTTGGAAAAAAGATTAATATTTTTAAAGGAGTGCAAAAAGATAGTTGGGCAAATAAAAAATAAGGTATTTTGAATAATTTGATTTTATTATCTTAATTCTCATTATTATTTTGGTCCTCATTATTATCTTGATCATCTTTATCATCATGATTAATTAAATCTTGTTCAATATATTCATGATTATGCTTTAGTAAATTCCAAAATCAGTTTGGATAGATAAAAAAAGAAATAGGAGTAATAATAAAGTTTAAAGTAAAAATAGTGAGAAAAAAAGAATCTATATCAAAAACATAAGAAATTTTATCTAATGAATTTATTTTGTATTCTTCAAAAGAAAGAAAAGGTAAAGAATTTTTTTTTTGGTATTAAGGTGACCTCTTTGGTCTGGGAAACTTTTTATTAGAGTATAAACGAAGTTTTATATGTAATTACAATGATGGTACATCAAGCCACATGTGCACCTTTTGAGTACCTATTTAAGTAGTCCGCCCGAAGGTTTTACACTATCTGCCGTACCTGCACCCCAACTAGGGGGGTACCCATTTAAACCATCTGGTTCTAACT